TGCGGATGGGTGAAATTTCACGTTGCTGGCAGTGCGATATATCCCAGATTTCTGATCGGACAGGGGGCCGTGAATACACAGTGTGGATATTATGAATGCCATCATTCATGTATCACTCCATCTGGATTCAGACAAGCAGGGAAGTGTCTGAAAAGGCTTTGTCTGATGAATGAGGTCTGTGATGAGACACTTTGAGTTTGTATAGTAACACTGAAAGTAAAAAGGGTTCGTTTACATGTTCATGTGCATTATAGTGCACGCTAGTGTAGTCAAAGTGTGCATTTGCAAGGCACTTGCAAGGTCTGGTTTCAAACTAATTCAAGAAAAATGGAACTAATGATGGTCTGTTTCCAAATTTCACAATTGACTCGGGAGCTTTACAGTGAAGTTATTCAGGCAGCAAAATCTCTCTGTGCTAATTGAATTAGAGAGGCTTTTCAACTCGGGCAAATACCAAGTCAGCCAGTGAGCCTGCATGAGAACAATTATACAATCTGCACTGATTTTTACTAGCTTCAGTTCAAACAATCCACAAACAGTGAGACAATGACACTTAGCATTCATATTTAATCTTTCAGAGGATAATTAGTCTATGAACACAACACAGGAAAAGGAAGATTTCCCTCTGACCGGTGCTCTAATTCCACAGGCAATATTACCATCTGTATCAGCACTCCTATATTGGCTGTGACCTCTACATGGCTCTTCCTGAAGTCATGCTCATCACCCCCTACGTGTTTCAGTGGTGCTAACCTCCTGCGTGCATCCATAACTTCTCACTGTGACACTGAATCAACATGGAGCCATTGTCCTCCATCTTTGTCTGTGGGGATGTCTTTTCATCTTCTGAAAGTGGCCTGATTTATTCCACACTCAGCTCAGCTGCTATTAAGGGAGTTCCACGTTGAGAAGGTGGCCAGACACTTTAAATGCCATTTTTTGCACAGCACTTTTTGTCAGGGAATGTGACCACTGAAGTGCTGATGACCAAAGTAATGAGCTTGGAGAAACAAAGCCTGCTTTGTGCATCATGACCTACACATGCAGACACACAAAACACAAGAATCCCCATCACTTTCTGGATCCCAAAACAGGCAAGTTTTTGACTACTGCACTTGAATTCTGAGTCAAGTTCAAGATTAACAGATGTGCTGATACGGATTACAAGTCTGTTACAGACACAATAATATCTTCAAGACACGGCACAGTATCACGAGTGCCAAAATATTACAGCTACTAATAACCAAGTATTATTAAAGAACAAACAACATTTCTGTCTTTGATCATATGGTTTTCAAAAGGTTGCTCTCATTGAAACGGCATTTGAGGTTCAGGGAAAGGGTTTCCCACCATTTCCCACACGTTCTGATGTCACATATGAAGCTGGACAGTCTCTGCCTGAGCTCTCTTCTATTTTTAAGAAATCGTGCCCTCTTTCAGGGATAAACTACATCACTTATATCTGTAAATCAAGAAGGACAGACATAATAACAATCAGAGGCCTTCAATTACACCATAAGAGCTCTCTGATGGACTGGTTTTGTGTGAAAGTACAAGAAGAGCCTGTTATTCAACACACCAATAATTTTAGCGAAGCTGCCAGAAATACAAAAGAGCCACCAGATCCAAGGGGCGCCAGTGTGAAAGCCAATAACTATCCGTGTGAATTTATGTGCTTGTTCACTAAAGAAACGACCTTGTTAACATCCATTTCCATCAGTACTGTTGAGATATTTGCCAAGGACCATGAATGAGGTGGTCAGGCATTCTCGTTTCCCTTAAAATTGAGGAAAGATGAATGGGAAGGCTTTTTACGCAACTTTAAAAAGGCCTTTCTTTGTAAGGGTACACAGTTGACCAATCCAGTGAGCCTTTTTAATCACCTACCATCAGCAAGATTGCCTTTTTTTTCTCTTTTTAACCAACACAATTCTGCTTAGAGTAAAAGGAAAGCTCAACTCCTTGATATCAATATATGTAGCATCCACAGGCATAATCACATAATGACTGGCTCTTTGTGTTTTTATAATCTGCATGTTTTGTGAAAGTCTGTTTACATAAAGGACATAGGGGGGTCAGAAAAGAAATGAAAACCCAAGGCAAAACACCTGCATCTCAAACACTGTAAGAGAAAGTCAGGACATGTTCCTGTGCTGATAAGCTCTGTGATCCCCCC